ACAAGCATCTGAGTGCTCTCTCTCTCTCTCTCTGTCTCTCTCTCTCTCTCTCTCTCTCTCTCTCTCTCTCTCTCTCTCTCTCTCTCTCTCTCTCTCTCTCTCTCTCTCTCTCTCTCCCTCCTTGTCAGGCACGCTACTTTCTGTGCTGCCTCTGAAGTGAGGTATGTGTCACCTGAGTCTGTGTCACCAATAAAACAAAGGATATAAATGGTCCAATACCGGTGTCGTCCTAGTGTTATAGGTCCTGCAGGTCTAGGGGAATTGTGCAAGTTGGGTGTTTTGTGTTGAGGTGTTGGTTTACGTGTTGTGGATGATCTGCTTAAGTAGACAACACCTTGCCAACTCTGTTGTTTGCTTTGGTTGTGTTCCCATTCCTCGACCAACATGGTTGCGGATGAGTTATGGTTGCCGGCCGTTCACCACGCTGTCGCCGATAGTACTGAAAGTCAGGGCTGCAACCTGAAATAACTGGACGGAGTTAACGGCCGGAAGTCGCTACGTCCGGGGTTGCTGCTCTGCTTGGCGGGCAAATGCTGAGGTTGTAGCAAACAGAGATCCGCACAAAATTCATGGGCCGTCTTCAACGCTCGTGTTCTCCTCGCCACGTAGCATCATAGTCTTCTTGACTTCCGTTTAGTTGCTTCGTAGTAGCATGGTTGTTGGATGAACGCGATGCAGGCTCGAAACCCTTAGCCATGTACCAAACAAGCGCATGAGCCAGCATGGGATGCCAGTCCGACATGACATGACTGTCTTCGCCCAACATACCAGGTGTAATCTGTGCCATTGGACTGCCAATGTAAGTACAGCTCCACTCCTCCTCCGCAGCATCATGGTGGACCAGATGACGACTTGGGTCGAAGGTCGGAGGGCTTCCCGAAACGGCTGTCAAGCACCCGATCCTTGTCCGATACTCTTGAATTCCTGGAGCGTTAGGCAGACTTGATTGCCAAGAGTACACCAGCGATCTGATCCAACTTGCAAGAACTCCCAGACTACTGTTTCTGCCTTTGGAGGCGACTTTCTCAATTGCTCCCGCGAGCGCTGATGTGGCGATGTGTCGTGGAGCCGACGATCTTGTCGTAAAAGGATGTGATGTGGCAGATGACTTGAACGCATTCGTTGTGTGGCCGGGCTTATGCAAATCGCCTTAGCTGCAGTTGCCTTCAGCGAACACGCTGACAACCTGGCTTCTAGAGGAATTGCACACATGTGATGATTGGTTTCACATTGGACAGTTGGCAGGATTCACGCCAAAGTGGCTTGCGGCGACAACCTCGGGTTTGGAATTGAGCCGTTACAAGTTCTGGTTGCACAGCCTTGCCGTTGTCTGTCGGGGAGGTGTGCCCAGGTTCAGGGGGTGAGGTGTCGTTGTCATATCGCACGATTTCTCCATGCTTATGCGTTGAACACGAGAAAGGTAAGGGTTCCGGATTGAAGTGCGTTGCCACCAGATTGCAAAGCAGTTAGTGCGCTGGATCTGCAACAAGATTCCCTGAATGGGCCCGTGGTGTTAAAGGGCAGCAATCACCTGATTGCAGCCTGTCGAGGATAAACCCAAGTCGAACTTCAGAGGTCTGGCTGCTTCTGCAGGCATTGTCGTTTTCGTCTGAGGCCGGCGGTTGGCACGCACAAACGCGCTACAGCGGTTTTTCAGAGTTTTGTGGTCTTCCGATTTGTTTGGCATTGACATAGGGGTGTACCAGCACGTTCAGTTCGAAGTGCATTGGCGGGCATTTCCTTCGGAGGCACAAGAGATCAACGTCGCAGACATCGGGAGCTACAGCCGCTGCCTGCTGCCTATTTGAGACTCCGTACCTCTTTTGGCATGGCTTTCTTTGAACAGCGTCATGGGAACATGTATCCTTCATTCACCGAAGGTCCTATGAGCGTCTTCAGCACCGGCAGAGCCAGTGAGCCTAGCATCGATGTTCGGGAGGAGCAACCTGCGCAGTCTGCGGACATGAAACCCTGCTCCCGGGACATCGACACTGAACACACTTTTGGATAGATGAGGTCTCCGCCTGCAGTATGCTTCCTGCGAGTTCAAAGTGTCGCATCCCACGAATCACACGTCCAAAGACTCGCTCGAAACATTTGGCGGTGTCCGATGTCATGCTGGATCCTTGTGTAAGACATGCGCCAGCACGGGTGCATCTGAATCTTTGACCTTGTTGACACCTGGATATGATTTTCCGATTGTGTAGATTGTGACACCTCGCGCCCGCGCATTCACTCAGGGTGTTCCTCGAAGACTGTTGCAGGCTAGTTGCAAGTCTGTGGACTCAACTTTGCCTTTCACGAAGTTTCTCTGGATCCAAGGCACCGCCATTTTGCTGGGCACCCAGCCGTGAGATGAAGTTCTGAGCTTTTTCTTCATGCTGGGCCACATGGCTCCGGTCTTGCTAGGATGCACTGCAGGATTGGTTGATTTACCAGGCTTGCAGGCACCGGCAGTGCAAGAACTCATTCGTCTGAACATATTTCTGGACTAAGGTGACACTACTAGCACAACCACCACCAGTTCTACCACATTCAGTCTGGCACTTGTGCACTTCATGTTGCGGTTGTTGATTGTCTGATGCGTTTTAGTTTCGGGTTGTCTTGGAGTCTCATCATGGCATTGCTCGAACAAGGCAACGTGGCTCTACACCCTAAAAGCTTCAGGGAATCGCTGAAACCAGGCTATTTGGAACATGAGATGAAGATGGCACTTGGCAAGATGACATGTGGTAGGTTTTCCGGTTTGAGCTTGAAGCTGAGAGCATGAGGCTCAAGCACTACAGTGTCTTCCACCACCCAGACCACGAGTTCGTCCACGACGACAGTGACAACGTCTTCGAGCTTCCCGACAGCACTTATCGTTGGTTCAGAAATGCCGATCACAAAGGTTTGCAGCGTAGATGCAAGGGATCGTTTGTCCCGCCATGTCTCGCGAATCTGAATGTCCCTCTTTTACAACATGGTGGGCTACGGGTTTGCCAAGCAGCTCAGCAGTGCGGTTTCTGCTGCTGCCGTCGTTGTGTGGGTGCTGGTGGTCGCCACGAGTGCGAGGCCGAGGGCCACGGACAACGGGGCGACACGGAGCTTGCATGATAATGAATTTGGTTTGGATGATGACGACGATGGTAATGCTGTTGAGGATGACGATGGCGAAGATGATGCTGTTGCTGCCGATGCTGATGACGATGGTAATGGTGTATCTGATGGTGAGATTGATGCTGATGTCAGTTTCGACCTTGACGCCAGTGATGATGTGGTGCTGATCGTGGTGATGGTGCTGACGATAGGGCTGCCCACACTTCTTTGACATGATCCGGTTGAGCGTCTTTCAGGTTCCACAGAAACCACGAAGACCACAAGCTCCACTTCCTCTGCATCCTCGCTCGGAGCCCGGACGGCTAAGGCTTCGTCGGATTTGCTGGTGTGCTTGCGGAGATAGACGCCAGACTCGTGCCCGGTGCAAGACCTCTAAAATAAGTAGCGGTTCCAGACATGGATTGTGCAATGGAGCTGCGGCATTGCAATGTGAGTGTAAGTGAGCCAAATCGCCCTGCTTTCGAAGGTCTACCACCATGACTGCTGCTTCCCCAGCAGTTTAGCTTTGTGAGTTGTGATCGGCAGCAGCCGACATATCACTTGCACAGTACTTTGCCCCGCTGAGAGCTTCTCCGTGTCTCTCTGTCCCAGCCGGCTGGTTTTGTGCACGGTAAGCTACAGAAAGACGGGCACTAGGCACGTGGCCACGGCTCGCACTTGCAAGATGCCGCAATCGGGTCTCGGTCACCCTTCGGTGATTGTTTGTTGCTCGCCGGACCCTTGGTCTGCCAGAGGCTTCTTTGACGGTCACCAGCCGTACACACACGACGACCAGCCGGTCGTCAACATCCACGCTGTCGACAACCCATACAACTCTAACGAGCACCAGGCAGGTCAAAAAGGTCATGCTAGCGTTTTTCGACCTTTCTCGAGCAAAGGGCAGGCAGTGCAGTTGGAGGTTTTTTTTGTAGAATCATGTTCGTAGCTCTCACTTCTGCGAGCACATGGCGGGGCGAATATCGTTGAGTTGTCTAGGAGTTCAACCACAACTGCGACGACTACGTCCACAACGCGCTCGAGCCACTCTTGCCAATTGAAATCTTGAATGAGATTTGAAATCCTTTGCCGCCGGCTGCTGCTGAGGCACGGTTTCAACGACACTGACCTCTGTCACAGCGACCTCTAGCAGCATTACATCATCATCGTCCACACTAACCACAGGCCGCTTGGGTTTGATAACAAGGAACGGCAGGGGACGGCGTTTCGGAGGGAGCGACCTCACGTGCAGGCACCACGACAACGACGTTGACCAACACCACCACCACGTCGACAACATACCTGGGCACGACAGGGACAACCACGACCTTAACTGAAAGCACGACTTCAGCGGCTTGGCGGATCACTTCAGTGGCCAGTTCTTCGCGTGTGCGTGCTACGTGTGAACCTGAGGTCAGCAGTACAACCGAGACCGCGACGACAAGTACTGCTACATCATTGACAACCTCAGGGACCTCCACCTCGTCCTCGCCTTGCATGTCATGGTCTGTCGTACTGTGCATGTGCAGCAGCACGTGTGCGTCAGCACGGGCATGCACATCCGGAAACACTTGCGGAGGTCTTGTGTTTGATGCACAAGCCAGGTTGATGGTCGCTGCCCTTGAGTTGTTCGGCACTTGTTCCCAGGCGAACCTCCACCTCCATCACTACCATGACGCTGAGCTCATCGACCACCACTTCATCCACAACTTTGACAACCAGACGCTCGGCAAGCAACCTATGTACTTTCTGACTTCTTGCGAGGAGAAGCCAACGTTTACATCAAGACAGTTCACCCCCCAAACCGACCAGTTTGAGCAGAGCTGCATCTGCAAACTTGCGATGCTGAGGCACCATCACCCGCACGGGCACCACAGTGACAGGCACAGGGACAAGCTCCACCGTCTCCAGCACCAGTTCAACCAGTGCCTTCTTTGAGTTTGGCATTTCGAGCATTGCAACAGCTTGCCGGAAGAGCTTTGGGTTTCCGCAGCCCCCTGATTTCAGGTTGTTCAGTAGATAGTGTGCAACAGGTTTAGACCTTTCCGCAACGGTGTTTTCCGGAAGCGTTCTCTTGAATCTGGCCGGATCGTTTCGTTTGAACATCCAGCTCTTGGCTCGTCAGAATCATTCCCCGTCCTATGCGGTCGCTCGGGGTCCTTTTCTGGTGTATGCTGCGCACTAGTTACTGCTGCCACGTAATTTGAGCATTGGTTTGCTCTATAACTACTAGTGCCGTATACTTGGCCATTGCCATTTTTCTGGGTTGAGGGTTTAGGAACGGTCCCTGCGTACGGTCATCCCCGCAACTACTTTGGAACGGCTTGGGATCCGAGCTTCGGAGTTTGGTTTAGCCCTCCATTCCCCCGCCTGTGGAATGGGTGGGTGGTTTCGGCCTCGGCTTGGGAGCTGTTCAGTTCCTCCTGCTGCGAAACACAACCGGGTCTCCCTTTACCCGCCTGTCGAAGCCGAAGGCTCCAGGCCGTTGTGTCTCTTGGGGGTGCCACTTGGTGTATGTATGTATGCATGTATGTATGCGTATGCGAGGGTATGTATATGTCTGTGTATGTTTGTGTTTTTAATTGTACGTGTAGGTATGTGAATGTGTGCGGGTACGTGTATGTATCTGTATGCACGGGTATGTATGTGCACGTATGATTGCGTATGTGTGTATATGCATATGGTTTATATGTTTATATGTATACCCGTATATATGTATACGTGTACATATGTACTTTTTGTTTTTGTATGCATGCATAAATGTCCAGAGGTACATATGTATAGATGTATAAAATGCACATAGGTATATATGTATGCGGTTGTATCAGATAGCAATTTACATATAAGTGCAATATATATATACACATAGATACGGTGGGTATTTGTACATGTATGGGTATGCATGTGTTTATGTATCTGTAGTTGTACACACGTATATATATATATATATATATTTATATATTTATATATATATATATATGTATATATATATATATATGTATATATATATATATGTAAATATATATGTGTGTATATATATATGTATATGCACGCACATGTACGCATAAATAGCTACATACGTGCTTCCAAAAGCAAGAACACGCGTTAAAGATGCGTGACTATCTGACGAATGGCTTGCACTGTATACAGCAGTGAGTAGGGAATTAAGTAGGTACTTCTGTATGTAGCTTCTTGTAACGAGGGACGAGGGACAACTGTGTGTGCTAGCAACCCGAAGTTCCTCCTTCGACATCGAAGGTGTCGACAGCTAAAACATCGAAGGTGTTTTCGCTAAATGTGTTCTATCCGTCGCCGTTACGGCTAGAACCCCTTTGGGGGGTAGAAGATTTTCAGAGTACTATAGGAAAGGAAACGGGGGCTAGGCCCCCGCTCGCCGCTATGGAAGTGGAAGAAGTTCCGGATAGTCCGGCTCTTTCCGAGGTGGAGGCAATGCTAGATGCGCAGCCACTGTCACCGGAACCCGAAGTGGAGCTCCGTGACCCTCTGCTACGGAAGTGCCGCGACTACCTGCTAGAACAAGGGTTCCGCAATCCGGAGCTTGCCACTGTACGGGACGAGGACGTTCCGGGCCTAGCTAGACAGCTGGCCCTCGAGCTGAGGATCCCCTTTAGTGCGGAGCTAGAACAGTTGCTCCGCTTCTTGATCGAGGAAGCTAGGGGGAAAGCCCCAGTCGAGATAAGGATGGCTGGCTTCCACCGGGAGCCTCTCTACTGGGCGGCCTTGGAACCGCCGGAGAAGAGGCTACGTGGTGCGGACCCAGATGAGCAAGAAGATCCTGCTAGACCCCCTCCCGGGGAACGACGCAGGAAGCTGATCCTAGAGGGAAGTGTGCTACAAGCCAGGGGAGAGAAACTTCTGGAGGTGTGGACCCTTCGGCTACACGAAGAACTCCGGGAGTGTCGGGCACCTGTGCTAGAGCAACTTGAGAGCAGCCTGGACCCGCAACGTGCCGCTAGCATGCTAGCAGGCAGCACGCGGGCCACCACCTTGAAGCGCTACCTCACTACCTACAAAAGGTGGCGGCTATGGCTCTGGGAGGCTAAGCTCAAAAGGCCACCGGGCCGCCCCGCTGACTTGGTGGATTATCTGGTGGTCCGGCGAGACGAACCATGTGGGCGCTCTATACCAACTTCCATCTACAGTGCTATACTTTGGCTGGAAAAGGTCGGTGAGTTCCCAGCGGAAGAAAGAGCTACCGCAGGACGTCTCGCGCTGGCAGCTAGAGACAGCATTACGGAAGAGCTTTCACAGGGGACACCTCTCACGAAGAGGGCGCCTCGCTACCCTGTCTTCATCCTAGTGAAGCTAGAAGATCTGGTCCTTGATGCTACACAAGCTGTGGGGCATCGCATATGGGCCTGGGCCAAACTGGTGAAGACATGGGCTACACTCAGGTGGTCCGATCTTCAGGCCATTCTACCACATGAGCTACGGCTGGTGGAGGGCAGGCTGACCACCACGCTACGGAAGACGAAAACTTCCGGCCCCAACAAGAAGGTCAAGGAGCTACCAGTGTGCGTGTCTGAGCACGCATTCTTCAAACGCAAGACGTGGCTACAAGTTGGCTTTCAGTTGCTAAAGGAAAGGGCACCCTATAAGCGGGACTACCTTCTCCCGCGTCTGGGTGGCCAAGGCTTGCTAGAGAACAAGATTGCGGAGTACCCGGACGCGGTGGTGGCTACAGCAGCGCTGCTACATCTTCTTGGGCTGCCATCTGTGGTCCAAGGGTTCTGGACTGAGCATAGTGAGCGGTCGGTCTTGCCAACAGGCCTCTCGCTACAAGAGACGCCACCTGCCGACAAAGATTTGCTAGGTCGTTGGAAGCCAGAGAGCTCCGACACGTATGCTAGAACCTTCCCAGGAAGGGTCGCTCGGCTGCAGGCAATTTTTGCCAAAGCTGCAAAAGGAGCCGGCCACAGCGAGGTGCTAGACGAACGCGAGATAGGCACTTCGCTGCGGGACTGGCTTGTTGATAAGAAAGGGCTGCCGCCAGCGCAGGCTGAGTGGCAGGCTCGGGTGCTAGAAATCACCTGGAAAACGGATGTGGAGCTAGATGGACCGGTGGCTGGAGTGGTGCCCCCGCCGATTTTAGAGTCCAGTGCTAGCTCTTCAAGCAGCTCCACCACGTCGAGTGGGGACAGCAGCAGCTCCAGCGAGGAGCGGGCACCCAAACCTGCTAGACTGCAGGACAGGAAGACGGCCTATGTGGTCGTGGGGCAGCCGGGGGCGGTCTTCAGGCTACACAAGGCTTGCGGGAAAGGATGCTGGATGGGCCAGCGCCGCTACTTTCGGAATGCTAAAAATTTTGACGCCCTTCCAGCAAGCACCGAGTATACTCATGTGTGCCGCCTCTGCTGGCCTCAGCAAGACGATATGCCCGAGGAGCTAGAAGACGGGTCGGAGACCTCCACGGCTCACTCGGGGGATGAACCGCAGCTAGAGGTAGAGCCGGCTGCTTGATAGCATCCCGGGCCTGAGTGCGAATGCTCTGGCTAATGGGGGCCTGGCAACTGCCACGGCTACGCAAGTACCTTCGGCACGCTAAAATGAATCTTGCTTTCGTTTTGCTTTTTCTCCTCTGGGGGGGTCTCCTGGGGGGGGGTCTCTCTCGGGGGGGGAAGACAGAAGAGGAGGGGAGAGAATCACGTTCTGCTACATGTTCTTGCTGCGGTCGTGCTACATGTTCTTGCGGTCGCTGTGTGCGCTAGGCTTCCCTCTGGGTTTCCCCCTTGTCCCTAACCCCATTTCGAAGGTTGCGAGGCGGGCTAGGTCAGGCAGTGAGTGCGCAAGGGTTCGCTCTTCGAAACGCTTTCGCTACAGCTTTCTCTCTCGAGAGGATCTGTGCTAGGAAAACCCTAGCGAAAGCAACAGCTAGCAGCCATCGGCATGGCTAGCTCCCAGGTGCCCGCTACAGAGCACTCGGCGATAGACTGCGCTACAGCGGTCAAGCACTGGGTGCAGTCCGACAAGGACACGCTAGAAGGCGTGCTCCGAGCTCGGCTGCATCCCGATGAGCTGCAGGCGCTAGTGGACACGGTCAGGAAGGCCCAGGTTCCGCTAGGCCTCCGTGCGGCTACAGCGGAAGGGGCCTCCAAGCAACGCTTCCCGGAGGGCTCCCGCTACACCAACCGCCTTGACTGGCTAGCGAGCTTGACCTCGCTAGATGACCTCACCGTGGAGGAGGAGAAGGAGCTAAACGAGGTCGAGAGGGCCCTGCTAGTGGACAAGGTCCACGGAGTCGTGCAGCAGGAGCCGCTACCACCTGATGAAGTCATCGACCTCGCTACCATGAAGGCACAGCACCTGGCAGAGCTAGAGAAGAGACATGAAGAGCTGCTAGCTGAGTTCCAAGCGGAACAGCTAAAGCAGCAACAAGCACAGGAGGCGCAGCTCCGCCAGACGCTAGAGGAGTTGCAGCAGAGGCAGCAGCAAGAGCTAGAGCGAGCACAGTTGGCCCGGGCCACACAGAGTGCCGCTACAGCTGCTGAGGCACCGCGGGGCAGCAACGACCCGGGCCCCGCTACTGCCGCTCCAGCCGCTGCTGCTACAATGGACGATGCCCGGCGCCGCTCTGCTACGCCCAACAAGATGGGGCGAGGGGGCTTTCCACCGCTACAGGAAGCTAACCCTCTGCCCGCTCGCACGTTGGGTCGCCAGGAGCTAGTCCAGGGACGAGCGGCTACAAAGGAGAGGCGCTCGCATACACCGAGGCGGTCGCTAAGCAGGTCGGGCGGCGGCCAGCAGCAGCCACCAACGGCGCTACCGGATCCCAACCGCACTTGGGACGTGGTGCTGCTAGCGGCTAGGCCCATGAGGCCGACCTTGCGCGATGGCCCTCTCACTTCGCTACATGACAACCGCTCCGTGGCCGAGCTACGTGGCACAACTGTGCCGATCGAGCTCA